TTTTGGGACACGTGCAGGTACCGGTAGTGCATTTCAGTTTTTTAGAAAAAATTTAGGAAAATTAGAGACAGCCTGTAGGCACATTGTAGAGTCGAATTCAGACCCCGAAACAAGTAAGGACCCCTCACCCTATTTCCTATCACGGTATTAAAACTAAATAAATAATTAAACTGTACTGTGTGACTTTATAGATGTATAATTGTTTGACCTAATTTCCAGTATTAAATGCAGCATGATGTTTGATGTAATTATGTTATGGTCTCGTATGCATGAACTATGGTTTCTTTTATTATGGTTTGTATTATGGTGAACCTGGTACTGTATTGTCTTATTTGGTGTCAATTACTGGTTTATATGTTGTGTATGATTGGATGATTGAGATTAAGGAAAAAGACAAAAAGGTTATGTGAATTGATAAGTAGAAAATGTGGACAGCCTGACTAGATATCCTAGGAGATGATGAACGGATCGGGTCCGTAGGGAACCCTACCGGGAACGTGGTCTCTCATATCGGACGGGGTATGGAGACCTTATGTGTTTTGGCGCTCATACCGGACGGGGTATGGGGACGGTCCGTTTCACCCTCATACCAGACGGGATATTGAGGTTCATGGTTTTGGTGCCCATACCGGACGGGGTATGGGGACGGCCTTGGAATCAGGTTGTAAATGTTAATGGTTCACGTGTAGCGGGGACCCCCTATGGATCCCCAAGGATACTAATAGGCTGGTAAAAGAGGAAATCTGTTTTCTGATGATTAAAATATAAATGTATGATATGTATTATGTTATAAAGTGTGTATGATTTCATAATATTATAAGGTTATTGTTTTCATATGTTGTTTTCAGGGATCTCACCGAGGTAAGTAGACAGTAAAGGTTTTTATGTTAATAAACGAGTTCGTTATAAATTATACTCCATTGGTCATTTTTGTTTTCTACCCACCTTTACTTCTGTGGCGGTGAGATAATGTGATGTCTTTACTGGGCTGGTGTAGCTCATCCCTTATTTAACCATTTCAAATCAGGAAGACGTTGTTCCTGAGCCCGTTTCGCAGGAAGACGGCGAAGGGGACGCCTAAAGACTTCATAATTATATTTATAGTTTTTATTTCAAGTATCTCTTTTAGTTAGTTTGTTCCTTCATGTTTTGAGTACGTTTTGATTATTGTGTAAAGGATGTTAATCAAAATTTTTATTACGTTTCCGTATTTGAGATTTTTAATACATATATTTCTTTTAAATTTCCGGGACCGTTACAATAAATTCTTCTACATGTCCTTAATATACTTTCAATTACATAACAACCAGTACATATACGAATTTAGTTACCAAAACATAGTAAAGTAATTCACTAACAATTTCAGTAGTAAATATAAATAAAAATACAACAATTAGTAGTGAAATCTTGTCATAATCATGCGTATGATTATCAATTATTAAACGTCACAGTTTTAATATTTTAAAAAGATTAAACTACATTTATAAGTACTTACGCACTTACCTGATTTCTGTCTAAATTTTGTTCTTGAAATTATCTCCCATGTACAAAATTAACTTGTTACAATGATATTCATATTAGTTTAGTAATGACTTGATTATCCCTCTAATTTTAACACTCATACCTAGACTTATTTTTGATTTTAGTCTGGATATATAATTTATTAAAGTTAAATACGATTAATTAACTTTAAATCTAAAACAATAAACCATCATAATTTTTTTGAACTCACCTACACGAACTGGCCTCCTAAGACTCACTGTGCGCAACCACTGGAATTCTGCATCTCTCTCTCTCTCTCTCTCTCTCTCTCTATCTTCGTGTTTTATAGGGAGAAGTGAGAGGAGTCCTGCACGACCCCTCTTCTTCGCCACACAAGTCTCCTTTTCGTCCTTTTCGGCCGGTGGTAGAAGTACATACGCCTCTGTCTCTTCATCTTTTCCAACCTGAGGCAATAACGTCTCTGGTTTTTTTTTTTCTTTTCTCTTTACCCAAAACAGTGCCGTTTTGGAGTTTTCCAATATATTACACAAGTTATTTGAAGGAAATAAAAAAAAAAAGTTGGAATATGTATTTTTTAGTATAATCTTGAATTGATAAGTCAGAATTGAAATCAATTGATATGATTTTTTTATTGATTGCCCTACCTCCGATTATTACATATCTAAATTTTTTTAATTTTTATAATGTAATTTCAATATTTTCTAATTAAATTATAAATTTATAAATAAATATCATCTTATTTTTAAATTTGTTACAAGTAATTTTACTATTGTTGTTACTGCTATATAATTTACTTACCATAACAAAATACTCTGATGAATTTTTGTAATTTTATAACTATAAATATATATATATATAGAGAGAGAGAGAGAGAGAGTCTCATTAGATACAATTTTGTTGTGACTTTATTTCTTTTCAAATTTTTGTTTTTCAACTTTGCATTGTACGATTCGGGTGAGCGTATTAAACTCCCCTTTGAGCACTTTGACAACAATTTGGCATCCTTAGATCCCACCTCAAGAAAAAAATATGCATGTCTACCGATACTCAACCTATATGTGAACCAAAAAAAAAAAAAAAAATTGAAGAAAATTACATCAAACTGAATATTATAATTGCCAAAAAAAAAAAAAAAACACGCGCACACACGCACACGCGCAGACACATGTGCTCGCGGTAGACGTGTCATGAGCGAGTTATAATACGTGCGTAAATGAATTCGTTCCACGTGTCGGGTAATCCAGGAAGGCACCAATGGATGCAATCAGCGTAGGTTGCTGGATCGGCTTGCTGTTCTGGCGTCAACATTTTACCTTGTCGAATGGTATATACCGAAGTATGAGCATCTTTTCTGTATTCTGATAGAGAAGTGATGTTAATAAAGTGAACGTGTGTTTTTAAAGACCGCGTCACATTGTTGGCTATTACAAATAATCTTCTATCTGTCCCGACGCTAATTGGTTTTGAAGTGTTGAGAATTGGTGTGGTCTCTAAGGCGCACTTGATTCCATCTGGGTTCTCCCAATCCAAACTCCTGTTTACACGTATGGATTAAGAAAATGTACGACTACAGGTCTCATGTGTACACTTACATAAATATTGATTACATCAGTCAGTGTGTACATATATGGTAGATGCGTATTTGGCATCGATGTCAAAATAATTCAATTAATTGGTTTACCAACCAACATAGAGGGTAAGATGTAAGGAGACAAGTTGGTGTGATCATTTTATCATACAATTCTTGGTAGGCCCCACTATTATATTATTTGACTAATTTTTGAGTAAATTACATCTTAAAATATTAAGTATAATTTTTAATAATTATTATATACTAAAAAAGACATTTACATGTAAAGCCAAACAATTTTAAGTTAAAACAATACCCGAGTTAAATAAAATCAAATAATTAAACTTTTAAATTTATTTTTTAAAAAAAAAAAAAAAATCTCAAATTTTGAATTGTAATAAAGATTGAAAGTGTAGTTTTCTCTGAATGAATTTTTTGTCGTACCAAAAAATATTTTTGTTAATATCAAACTTTAATTGCTTCGATTTGAAGTATTAGTTTTGATACCCAATTAAAGCATTCAATTCTCTTTTTAAAAGTTATTAAAAATGGCATTGTTAAAATATAAGGGTTTAAGAAATTAATTACTTGATATGAAGAGGAGACATGCTGCTGAAGAAAACTGTGGTGCGATTTGGATCAACATTATTCTCTACCCACTTTGCCCATGTTCTCAACACTCTCCCGTACGCTACCGGCCGTCCGATCTCATCGTACTCCGTGTCTCCTTCATCGAACGATCCTCGGCTTATTATCGATCATTCCGACAATAAAAAGTCGAAATTACCATCATAATTGAAAAAAAAATCAATTGGGTAAAATTCAAAATCAGCCTGATATATATACTTACAGGACTTTCATAGAGAAAGTGTTCATCCACCATATGTAAGTATTGAAGATCAAGTAGTCCACATCCTTCCAATTATCTCCGTGTTTGTTGATTGATTCAGGCATTATGATCCGGTTCAAAATGCTGTGCATCTGGGGATCGTCTGAATTTGACTGGACCAAAAATGGGGCCCAGTAAAATTCCACCGTGGCATTATAATCCTGAAATTACAAAATTGAATTGAATAAACTCAAAATCATGAACATAATATTTAATAGACAAGTAGGTCCACAAAATATTTTCTCTACATTCTATCTCGTTAGATTTGGGGGACAAAAATATGTATAGCCATAAATAATAATTTCTTGTCTTTTTTTTTGGGGGGGGGGGGGTAGAGGGGGGAGGTTCAAAATCCCAATGCCAAGAAACTATATATTATAAAATAAAAAAATTCAAGTGGTGCCAAAATTTCCCCGTTATTAAAATTAATGTCTAAATAATACACAAAATATCGAACACAATTATTTGATTTAAAATATTATTTCGTATAAAGTATAATTAATGTTATAACAGTAAATCTCAAAGAGCATTTGACACATCTTTTTAAAGATATCTAATTAATCAAGAATAAGACATAACTTCAATTCCAATCAACTCTGTTCTTTATCCAGCAAAATTAGAAAATTACATAAAATTCAATATTTATTTTTTCAATTTTTTTTTAAAAAAATAAATATACTTGTGGAAGTAAAAAATTAAATTAAATTAAATTTACCTCAATTCTAAACACAGACAGAGACCCAATTTTGTTCAAGCTTTTCTTGCCAGGAGGAACCACGGATTGAACCAAACACACCATTGATTCCCATTGATTTCTATTCAGTGAATCCCCAACAAACATCAGCCTCTTGTTCCTCAGCTTCTCCAGCAACAATCTTGCTTTAAACCTATACAGACATGCATATATGTATATATTTAAGAAACCCATTAATTAAAACGATCCAAGAAATTAAAAAGAAGAGTAAAAATTCTGACTTGGGTAAAGAACAGTCTCTTGGTTGCCATCTCCAGTTCTGATACAGAGAATCTTTTCTTCCATTTCTCATGCAAGTCACCTGCGCCGTCAAGAACTCGCATTCATCTTCTTTATACAGAGGGTGAGTCTCGTTGTCGAAAACCCATTTTCCGGTGAACAAATCACAGTCCTCCGGCGGCAATTCAACCTCCTCCTCCCCTTCGTCTTCTTCGACCACCACCGGTAATTCAATCTTCCGCCGGTCGTCTTCTTCTTTCGCCTCGATTTGTCCCTTCGAGTCCTCTGTTTTCGCCGTTTCCGTACCTTCTTTTTCTTCTCTGTCCTCAACCGAGGCCCTGGAATTCAGCGAAACCGAAGTTCCTTTCATGGATTCTTGAACTGGGTTTTTGGACAGCTCCTGCTCGGACTTGGAGAACGGAAACTCAGCGATTGATTTCACGTCCTCATTATACATGAAAATAGCAAATAGAAAAACAGAGAAAACGACGATGAAGACAGAGAGGTTGTTGCTCTTTCTGTGCTTCATGGCTATGGCTGCCGACGACTCAAACAATGGCAATTTCCTTCTCGATGGCTGCATCAGAAGGAAAGAAAAAAAAATCAAGGTTTGTGGCAAGAAAAAACAGAGATGGAACAGAGGGAAATATAGAGAGAGGAGAGACGATAAAGAAGTGATAAAGAAAGAAAAAGACATACTTGGAATCCTGCATTAGGTTTGATTAATTTTTTGATTTGGTGAGATGGTTTTTTCTTGAAGAAACTGGTTAGGCTTCTGGTCAGTTTACTAATTCATTCATGACCCATTTGGTTAACTACTTGGTCGTCTTCAACCTCCAGCAAAACCAGAGGAGTGAAATGGAAAGGTTGGGGGGGGAAAACAGAAGAAAGTTCAAAAGGCATTAACCATTGTGTTTCTTTGAGTTTTTAACACTATTTCTACCTTAACTGTATGGAGTGGTAACCCCTCCCTTGA